AAAGAGTGTCTCGAACACAACTTCGTGAAAATATATCTCACTTTGACATGACTCTATTGCGTTACTTTTCAATAATGAATGTTTCTTATTAAATGCACTTCTCTGAAAGAATATATAGAAGATGAAACAGAAAAAAAAAAAAAAATTCTTTAATGAACTAAAATTAAGTTACGTATAAGTTATTTTGTAAAAAAAATTTATATTAGTTTTTTCAAAAAAAACATTATTCTTAAGATACTTTTAATTTATAGAGAAACTAATTTAATTAATTTTTTTCTTATTTTCTTTCCTTATAAATACATTTAAAAAATTATTCAAAAAAATCCTTAATATGATATTAGAAATAATGAAATTATATAAATAAATAAATAAAAGTGTAACACCATTGATAAATAGCTGGTTTGATACACCTTCTAAAGGAAATAGTCAAGTGAAATTTAAAAAACTTTACATAAATAACGCAGGGTGTATCATATAATTATTTTTTGTTTTCTTTTTCCTAAAGAATGGTCTTCTTTATAATCCCTTTTTATATGCCTCTTCAATGATAATAAATATCTATGGGAATAATTAATATTTTTAAAATCATGAAAAATACTAATTAATGTACGTAATCTTAATTTAATCATAATTAAATTTAATTAAATGACACTTTGCAACTATAAAATTCTACTTTATTAGACATAATTATTCAAATAACTTTTTAACAATAGAAGTGAAATTTTTTTAGTAAACCTTTATTGAGTTTCAATTCGGTAAATATAGTCTTGAATTAAATTAAACACTATTAATCTTTGACTAACTACTAAGTGGACAATAAGGTTTGGTTTGAAATTCATTGACATGTTATTGACTCTCTACCTAATAGTTATGTGTGTCATCCCCTATTTACCTTTTTTACATTCTTAATCATTCAAAAAATTGTTGTTTAACCGGTGATAAATATATATTATCTACCATATTTTATTATTTTGATGGGTTACGTGATTTACACTTAAAAGAGTTACCTTAATTGAGGTTGTTGCATAGAAACATTTCCTATTACATACAAAGAAAATATGAATGAAAGTTAAATATATTTATTTTCTTAAAACATAAAATATATTTAATACTTATAAAAAAAAATGATAAATAATAAGACTATGTTACAATAACATTTAGAATTAAAGTAATACTATATTTTCAAACAAATATTTCTATTATATTTTAATGAAAATATTAAATAAAAAGATTAAAATACTTAATGAGTAAAAAAACTATAGTGAAAATTTAAACTTTTTTCTTTAAAATACCCTTCATTGTATAGAAACCTTGGAAATTTCTTCCAAATAATAATAAAACATTTTCTAATATGTTTTTTAAAATACATATTTATGTTAATTAAAATTTACTAAAAATCAGAAAATTTTATTTTATAAATCTTACTATGAGTACTGACATAATGTAACACGATAATCTTGCCTTTTAATTATGGGTCAGAAATTCGATCCCTTAATCTATATGTATTAAAACAAACATTTGTTTTGGAAGATGTTAGTCTGTTAAATGATCTCCATATGTCAAGGCGGGCTAAACTTTCTGTGTGATTTTGGAGTTCATCTAGACACTAGACTGATAAGTTTATAAATTCTTGGTCCAACCGGTTATGCTAAAACTAAATCCAAGAATAAGGTATATATTGCAGTGTTCTATAACATTATTAATCGAAAAACTCATAAGGCTTTGTTGCATCTTATAGTATTTTTCCCTAAACTCATTAGCAAACTATGTGAGAGAAGCAATTTATGTTTTTTCGAAGTTTCTTTTCCAGTTTTGTTTACCGTCTGTCTCACATATATACCTCATTGGTGATGATAAATATTTCTGTAAGATAATACGTCTTCTCATGACTTTTTCTTTTAATTAACGGAATATATTGAATCAGTGATGTCTCTGTCTTATTATTAGTAAAACAAATATACATTTCTATTTCACGGGCTTAAACTGAGTTACTGAGTATAAGTTCATTCACTTGAGCATGCAAATTAGAATTCGGTAAGTTAGCAATGAATTTTATATCAAATGCGATGTAAGAACAAGAAGACATGGATATTTAGCATCCATTTACTTTCTGGGGGAAAATTCTGACAAAAATTTTTGCTTTGTGGATAATCTGGTTTTAAATACAAGTGAAAAGCATTCATTAGCTGCTGTGAAATTTACTTATTTACATGTGTGTTGATCAATGATCGAGTTGATTTAGAACACAATTAATCAACATGCTCAAAATCAAGAAAACAATGTATTGATTTATATGTAAAATAGGAAGGTTCAGTGCCAGTGAGTAGTTAGTTGTGCATGTTATGTGTATCAACTTTCCTAGTTAAGAGAGAGAGTTCATGATTATCATTAAATTATGTTAGAAAATGTCATGCGATGTAGAGATGTTAAATATTTAGATGTATATGATTGTACCAGATAAAATTTATAACTAATGAAAATAAATTTTAGCATTTCCCTCATGGAATATCTATGAATTGCACACTCATGCAGGCACTTTCTAACATTACATAGACTTTCCTTTTTACCTTGTATCCTCACATGAGCATTGCAGTGTGCATGTCTGTTCTATTAATTGTTTCTGATCAGTAATTATGTTACACAATTTATAGGCATATATGCATAAAAAAAATACTACAATTATAATGAATATTTTTAATAAAAGAATATGCTATTAGCACTCCATATACGTACTTGAGTTTTTCTGACCTTTAATCTAAAAGAAAATGGTGTCGAGAGAATCTTGTAATTCTTTCTTTTCATATTTTCACCCAATGACTAAAAAATTTCCGAGAGTTATTTTACAAGTTAGAAACGTTTATTTTATTTTATTTTATTTTATTTTATTTTATTTTATAATTTTTCTACTGAATTGAAACATACTTTTAGTATTTCAAATAATCTATCCTTTTAATTATATCTAGCAAATTAATTGTCGAAAGACATGAATCCACTGTAGTAATTTCTACAAATATGCTGCAAGAAGAATCGTTGAAGGATAAAGGCACGTCAAAACTAATAACTTTTCAACACGTGCACATCAATCTTAAGTGTTAGAAAGGGGATTAAAGGGATATAGTAAATGATCTAGCTCTATAGAGGGAAGTAATTGTCAATTATGTTTGTTGTACAGTCTTTTTTGTCACTGATTTACTTTTGGTTGATACTGCAAGAACAAGAAACCCTTTTATTCTTTCTATTTTGTTGCAAGAGATCGATAAAAAAAAAAGTTGCACATTTTTAAGTGATTGACATTCTATTATTTTATTTTCCAATACAAATTTATGTTGTGGCCAATATTTTTTTGGGAACATGTATGCAAAAAAATATTAGGCCAGTATATTATTAAAAGAAATGCCATTATGCTAACCAAATTGACTGATGGAACTATAAAAGTGTAAGTATCTTTTATCATTTACTTGATCGTGTTGAAGTTAAGTAATAGAATTTAAGAATACAAGTATAATATACTTGAATTAATATATGTTTTCTCAAATATCGTTATTTTAATTAGTGTTTGATATTTTGTGGTGCTTTAGGTATGAGTTGAATCCTGTATCTATAAAGGTTTTGCTTCCAATGCGAACATCCGATGCCACTTCTGAATGTAAGGCAAGATTTCAGCGGGAGGTGAACTTGTTATCTAAGATTAAACATAAAAATATTATAAAGGTATTTTTCAATCTCTTCTCTTACCTGAACATACCTTCACAATTATTATGCTTCTTCTCAACATTTACTTCCCCTTAGCACTATTTTTTCTTCTAATAAATAGTTTTAAAACAAATTTACCAAAGAATTAGGTACTTAACAAATTGTTAATCATCACAACCTACAGCTAATTTTGATATGTAATTACATGTTATTCAATGCATAATAAAAGTATTTCCTTCCTACACTATGGTTTAAGTGTTTAAAATATGCAATTCTTTGGCTTGAATGTATTTCTGAATAAATTATCTTAACTTATCCAACAATGTATGATAAAATGCATTCCCCCATATTTAGTTTATGTGTTTCAAATATGAAAATCTTTATCTTGGTGTATTTCTGATTAAATTACCTTAATTTTCTCGACAATGGTCTGTCATAGTGGTAGTACGTAGATGTTGATCCTGAATGGATTTTATCTACATTGTCAAGGGTCTAAGTTTTGGAGTTATCAATTTGAGGTTTTTCACTAACTGAATATAGGGGATGCCCGATCGGAGGTAAAAATAAAAATATATTACCTTAATTTTCATATTTCTTATTAAAATTTTAATTAATAAAAACATATAAGGGTACATTAATTGATTTCTATTTTATTTTAATTAATATATTTTCGCTAATAATTATGAAAAACACCTTGTTTTTACTCTGTTTTGTATTTCCATGAATTTACAAAGGAACAAAGAAAAAAGTAATTACATTTTTCATTTCCTTTATAAACTCTTAATAAAAACAAAGAATACAGTGAAAATATAATTACTAAATTACTAGCCTCAAAATTGTACTATGTGCTTCCGTGTATTTTAAAACAAATAAATTAAATTAAATTAAAATTAAATAATAGTTTATGGTTAATAATTAGAGAGTTTGAAATAAATTTTTGGATAGTTATTATAAGGATAAAATTATATATAATATAAAAGTTATAAGGATAAAATTGTCCAAAAAATTATATACATCTAAAAAAGATATCTCCTTTATTATTAGTATATATGCATATAAAAAAATTAAAACAGAAATTTAAGTCATCTTAATGTTTCTATATTTTATATTTTAGAGATAGATTGCATATGTTCTTCTGTTGTCAACTTCCATATTAAATGATATCATTATTACCATCAAAGAATGTATTGCCTAAGCTACTAATTACTAATTACTAAATGACTAGATTTAATTTTGGAACAACCCCTTTTAAAAGATACAAAGCATGCACTCAGTTATTGGATCATGCCAATCTTCAAATTTCATCAAATTATATATATATATATATATATCATGGTTTTAATTGCGGTTGCAGTTGTGGTTGTGATTATTGTGGTTGTGGGTATTGCGATGCGCATTGCGGTCGTTGCGGTGTAAAATTATTAAATATTCATTAAATATAAAAAATTTATAATTATCAATATATATTTTATTATTTTAATAAATAATTTAATTTATTTTAAAATTATAGTATCAATTTGCCGTATTGCGGATGTATTGCGGTGTATTGCGGATGTGTTGTGGACGCAATACCGTTACGTATGATTTCCGGTCTCACCGCAATTGCGATCCGATATCGTTGCGAACAAGGCCGCAACCACAATATTACGGCTGCAATACATGATACGGTCCGCAATTTAAAACACTGATATATATATATATATATATATCCCTTGTGTTTCTTCAATAAAATTTTAACTTTAAATAAACACAAGAGCATGACAATGTTCATATTTCAACTAATATTATGTATGAAGGTTAAGAAGGGGTCATGTGTAGTACACATTACATTGGCGTTGTATATATATGAGCTATGTACCAACCTATCTATGCTTGAAAAGAATAATTGACGCTAAATGAAATGTTTGGGATCCACTGAAAACTATAATAGAATTGGAAAGAAACTAACATGAATAATTAAACAGGCTTTTTGGCATGTTCTTGGCAAGTGTCATCACCCAACAAGTATGTACTAAGTACCAATGTCATATCTTCCCTCTTGGGTAATTATTCTGTGAACATAGGTTTATAGTTAAAACTAATAAAAATATATCAGCAAATACTTTACTCTCAATTTTACTTTTATTTTAATATATAGTATTTTTACTAATTGTGCATATAGGTACTATACTTGCACAAGATTCACTCTAACTTGCTACTAAAGTGGCTTTCCTTTGTCCTATAGGAAGACTGGAAGACTACACATAATTTACATTCATGAAAAAATTATTGGCTCTTTTATTTTGTAATATATTGTTTGCCCTGTTAACACCTTAAGCACAACTATCAGTCCTCAAGACTACATTTTATTCTTTTTCCAAGGATTTTAGAGGAAAAGTGCGTTTCTTTGCCTGCTTTAGAATTATGTTTATTACGTTTTTTTAGTAATATTGTTGATGTTTGCTTTTAGGGATTTTCTACTATTTTTATGAAGGAGATTGCATAGCTTTGTCTCTATTCCTTTTACTCATATTAGCTCCCTTATCCCCCACCCTCCTGGTTTTTTCAGTTTTATTCTTTTTCTGAAGCATTTTGCTTCCCTGTTTTGTGTGCTTTAATGTAGTTATTCTTTTCTAGCATGTATAAGATATTTGTATTTTGTAATGCATATTCATGTAATAGACTCTATCATGATGGAAAAGTTGGTGAAATTTGGCATATAGTAGGTTCTCAAATTGCTTCATCAATAGATCTTGTTAATTATTTCCTCGACCTTATTTTTTAACTTGTCTAGCTCAATCTTTTTAGCTTATTTTTTATTTGACAGAAAACACACTATTTAATTGGCTGCATAAGAAATTCCAAACCTATTTCTTTATATATAAAGACTACAAAAAATAAATAAATTGCTTAACTCTATGGTTGGATAGTAAGATGTATTTTAGCAACGAGCATCGTGTAATTTTAAACTAATTTTGCAGTTTATTGGCGCCTCGGTGGAACCATCAATGATGATAATTACAGAACGCGTGGAAGGTTGTTCACTTATGAGATACCTAGAGAGCATTTCTCCAAGTACTCTAAGTTTAGAGCAATGCATAAGTTTTGCTTTGGATATTTCTAGAGTCATGGAGTATTTGCATGCAAATGGCATTATTCACCGCGACCTGAAGCTTGGTAATCCTTTTTTCTTATTTTTAATAATTATGTTTGGTTATGATGATGAGTATCCACAGTGTGCATACTTGAATGTTATTTAGTTTTGTTGTGTACTTTGTCTTCTATGAAATCGAACATGCCTTTTATTTTTCCTGCTTTTGTTAATGTATGGATTATCTTATGCAGATATGAACAAATAAAGGGCATCTACTAAATTGAGTATTTGTATGAATTTCTTTTTCCTTTGCAATAACCAGTTCATTCACAATCAAGGGAAACTTTTTTGCATGGACACTTAGTGCATCAGCTTGGACTTCGTATATTTTTCTAAATACAGCATATGCAGCCATTGCACTAAAATATTATCGATGACTTTGTCTTTTTAGGTAATATGTTTCTTGCCAAAGACAACATGGAAATTTTACTTACAAATTTTGACATAGCTAGAGAGGTGATAAGTGGTGAAATGACATCTGAAGCCGGTACATATCGATATATGGCTCCTGAGGTACATGCAGCAAAAAAAAAAAAAAAATATATATATATA